TGCGGTGCTGATCCTCAACAGGTCTTGATTGATGTTGTAGCGATGGTGAACGCCCTCACCCCCTCTGACTCAGGATCCCACTGTTGCTAGCGAAATCTCGTCATGTTGACATTGTGCTTGTTGCCTTACGTCTGCAAGATTGACAAATATGTAATATGAATGATGATTGATTGCCTTACGATGGCTGACTGTTGCAAGCTTCAAAATCTCACAAAGGCACGTGTACGCCGATTATTTGGGACGTATATGATGTCCACGTAGATGCCCATGTACCCGAGCACGTTGTAGATGAACGCGTATGCCAAAAAATTGATGGTCGACAGTTCCAACATGTTCACTCGTTGGACATGGAAGAGCATATGTCAGTCATCGTCGAAGAAACCACTGATCACGTTTTTGTCAATAGGATATTGATAAAGTTTCACCAACTTTGTGATGCTCATGTTGCCCGTCCGCACTCTTCCAGGACATAGGAGAAGGATATGCGGTCGGAGAGAAAGAATCCAATTGGAAGAAAGATAAGGTTCGGGAATCAAAGCAGGACCTAGCAATGGTTAGAGCAACCAGCGATGTCGCATGTCTCACAAGCAGTCTTGGCCTGTGTATTATGCCTTAGGGTGAGCCTCACCGTGTGCCTCCCACACGCAAGAACTTTCGTAAGAATGTAAACACTTATGAAACAACAGTGCAACTAAGAGAACCGCGCAGATTTTTGTACTTGCACCAAGTCCCAAAGCTTATATGCAAGTAGAAGGCTTCATAAGTCGTATCTATTCTCATAATTTTTTGTCAGTGAGCCATACCAACGACCCTCTGTCATTTTTGGGTTAATCCCAGCCATTAATCCTAGGTAATGTTGGGTCTTGTCCTATTGTCAAGCCCGTATCTTCCTAACTTTCATACCCCGGAGTGGCAGTTGGACCCAAGGGATGCTATTAATTAATAATTAAAAAGAGACCATCCCAGTCTAGGCTACCAGCCGGGCCGCCCGGGCCCCAGGTTACCAGCCCGTGCAAGGACAAGGGAAGGTCCTAAAAAAAAAAAAAAAAAACAATCAAAAAAATCTGAAAAAATACTATATTATGTAAAAAAATAAACTAAACAACTTTTGCCTCAGGATCACATCGAAAATTTTTACCAAATTTAAAATATAAAATAAACTTTAAAAAATAATATATACTTTTTTTATCTTTTTGGCCCGGGTGGGCAGGTGACCCCGGGCCACTCTGGTAGCCTAGATCCCAGTACTATTATGAGGGGTGACCCAATATATGGCTAAAATATGGTCTATTATGACAAATATTTATTGGGTATTTCATGCCGCTATGTTTCAATAGAGAGCTCTCTTGATCATCCAATTGGGATTTTCCACCTAGTATCCATTGGTTTGCGCCCAGTGTTCAGAAGAGTCTAAAATCTTCAATGTGATTCTTCATATCCGATCGCAAGAGATAACATTTTACCTGATCCAAAAACTTTGAAGCATTATCCATGTCGATTTTCATCACATTTAGGTGCATGCAAGAGAAACAATCGATCTACTGTGTTGCTTCCATAACATTCCAAGTACTCATAGGGTCAGCCTTGATCCACTTCGAAAACTTGAAGCGTTTGATGGCAACCAATAAACATCCTTAAACTCCCCCTGATCTACCAGACAAGGAGGGATGTTAATATCTGTCATATTAATACCAACTCTTGTAACGGTCATTCCACTCACATTGGTACCATAGTTCTGGCATCTAAACTAACGCTTTACCTATCGTACAAACGAGACGACTTTGCATGATGAGTTTTACATCATCCTGAACATCGAGTATGTACCAATTTTTTTTTTTTATGAGTTTTTTTCGTCAATTTTATCGCAAAGTGGGCCGCATCCTCTTGAACAACTACTATCATTTAGTGGAAATGAGCCAAGGGGTATGAAACCGTTAACCAACAAGGACCTAGATCGCCAGACCCGTTTTTTCTTGCAGTGTCCCTCATGTCTTTGATAGACATATTAAGCTCGTTTTGTAACACATCTATGTTTAACTTAGTAAAATTCATCATGCAAAGTCGTTTTCCGCTGCTCAACCGGTCAACTGATAGATGTAATTTAGATCGATTATATACATGTAAAAATGTCGTCATTAACGAGTTCTTTTAAAGGATCACCGGTCAACCATTACAGCAACAATAGATCAGTATAAACCTCTGCCTTACAAAGATTTGTCGTAAACATGTCATTTGTTCATATCGATAAGTAATGAGTCTCCGTTTCGGGCCTTTGCGACTTTATAGCAATTAAAATAGCTTGGAAAAAAGTCAGAGCCTCACAGGAAGGAAGGAGGATGAAGGATTGCAGATCATTGATCTATAAATGTAAGTAAATGCATTGTTAAACTTTGAATATTTTAGTTCGTAATAGAAAAGTTTAGTCGCTCATGGTGAAATTAAGGGTATTTATTTTGACTAAATAGTGGAACCTTCTAAGGTTGACGAATGTGTAGGTAACACTAACACCCGCCTTAAAGTTTGTTAAAAAAACTGTTAAGTCCCCAATTTTGAAAGACATTTTGACTGCATAGTTGCAACTTGTGTCGTCGAAACTAAAGATGTTAGAAATTAGAGAAGAAATATCGGCACAACATATTTTTAAAAAATTGTTCATTCGTGACCATACATGGTTTGCCTTGGTTAGTGGACGATTTTGCATGGTAATTTGGACAGACTTTGATTTAGAGGGGGTGTCAATAATTTTTGACTTATGAAATTCATACTTGTTCAAGTTGAAATCCTCTTCTTAACTACGAACTAAACTCTACCACCCCCAAGCGAGGGTCAGTTTAGTGCTAGATAATATCTCACAATAATTCAACGAGATCCTCTCAAATCCTCTCTCGACACATCATTTTAAGGAAAATAAGTAAATAGGTTTCATGAGATATGAAAAATTCGGGAACACACTATTGAACTGGACCCGCATGTAGTTTCAATTGTTATTAAATCCCAAACGAACGAGATACCAACATATGGGTAGACAATTTTTAGAACCTACTAAACAAGTTTGTATGTTTAATTATAACCCTAAAATAGGGTATCAGACACGTGCAGATTTTGGTTTTTAGCTCTAAAAGTAAAAAACAGTGGTAAATGGAATTGAAGGAGAAGGCACATTCAACAAACAAAATGAATTTTATTTCTTTGAAGAAATTGTGTAAGAAAACCTCTGAAAAAATTGTCAGTCAAATTTTGACTTTGAAACCTGACATAACTTCAGCTGCATAGAGTGGTTCCAACGCTGAATAGGTGAATAAGTTTGTTACCTAGATGCACAATGTGACAATGTATAAAATGTTACCTGAATTTATTGTTATGAGGGATGTTTAATCCGGTGTCCAATGCTGAATCTCACTAATAGAAATGAGTCATCAAACTGTAGAAACTCCACCTCGGTAAGCGTTCATATAGCCAACTGGATAGTTAGCTGCAACTGATTTTTGAAAGAATAATAAAAATTTTCTGAACCAGATGAAATGATATTTGTTTGTTTATTTTTTAAAATATGAAGTCTTGGTTGTAGAGGTCGTATGCTAGACTTATGACAATTACCTTCAGTAGTCGGTGGTTTCGTTGTCCACATGGTATGTTGAAGTCCCTATTAATTATGAGACTTCCTCCCTCCCACTCTCGTTATTTTACCCCAACGCACCCTTGCTTCCACAATCCTACCTCAATGTTTACCACCTTGGACTATCACCCACTCATCCATCTATCCGAGGATGATCTGACCAAACTGGTTGTAGGCACCGAAGTTAGGCATGACTTACCCAGCTCAGTCATAATCGAAGCGCAATCGGACGAGCCTTATCACCTGTCGACCACATCGGTCCCAGATGTATAGGCGAATGAGGGACCCTCACAGCTATGTCACACAGGCGTGTGCGAAGAATCAGCGTTCCGCTATATGACACTCTATCCGCATGTGCCAACTGTACCTCCCACGACTCCTTGCAATAGGACAGGGCTCTGAGTGGTATAACTTACCTCTACTTGAGGGGTTATCGCCACCCTTAGATAGGTATATCCCTACTGAGCTACCGACTCATATGTGGTGGCTTTTATATGTCGCGCCAGAGGTGAGCCAATCGAGGGCGTTTTCTCGATCGTTGTTATAGGCATGGTAGAACACTCTAAGACTGATCTGTATATGTGTCAGGCATCGGGGCGCTAATCGTACATGTTTTTATACAAGTCTCATAGGTGGATCCATTCTTGTCCCGCAAGCCATTTTTATTCCTCGTTTTGCTCGTACCTTGTTGTATTGTTCATTATATATACCATTGTTATTGTGATTGCAACCTAGTATTAGTAGATGTATGGCAACCGTCCGCCCCTCCACCTATAAACATCCCCCTAGACCCCTCTATGGTCACATTGTTGTTGTTGTTGTACTATTGTTATTCTGATCGTTTTTCGTTGTAAGCCATCTAGAGGTACCCTAGCCTTTGTCATTGGTGGCTCTACGACCACCATATGTCCCCCTTATTGATCTCACCACAATATCCTTGCCTGCATCCCAACCATTCCTGTGTAAATATGCTCTGCCTGGCCTGATCAGATTCCAACTCTCGACCTCTTCTATACAGTCGATGGCTCAAACCCACTGAGCTAGAATGACAACTAGCCCCCTGTGCTGTACTACACTGGGAGACAAGTGCGTGAACAATCATCAGAACAACCCATGGACCAAGAACATCAGGCAGACCTCTCATAGCCTAAACCCCAGCATATAACAACCTGTGGACTGAACCCCCTTGGGCATCTGCAACAGGCAGTGTCTGTAGTCCTTACCATGCACCAAACCAAAAGGGGCATGCGAATGGCCATGCGTTCATGCTCATGGACAAGGCTGCAGAGTTTTGAATCCACACCCACAAACCACAATGCCGGTTTGCAACGACTGCTCTACCCACTGACCTAATGGGCATGTAGGTCGTTTTGGATAGCTGCAGGCTATTCTGTTGCCTTGCCAACGTACCCCTGGGCCTCTGTGACATGACCGGCCAAGTTACAGGAACAGTGCTGCTGGAGGTAAGGGGTGACGTGGCACGTCTACAGGGTGCTCAGGGATCCACAGTCGGGACTCAGTGGCGTGCGGTGCATTCGACATGTTCGTGAGATCCCGCCCGTAGGGATTCCCATAGAAACTCATAGGGAAAAGCGACTGCCACGTGTCGTGTACTGAGCTGCCATTCCGCTATCAAATTCGGCGCGCTGGTCACGGATGGCTACAGTGGGGACACGTGTCCTGTGCGACCAAAGCTGCAGGTTTTCGACGTTGTCATTGCACGTTGAAAGCCTCCGAAATGTGGAGAGGCACAGATCGCGCGCGTCCTCTACCCGGTGCCACGTGACAGGACCACAGCGACTGCGGCTAGTCGCTGTCCGACCTCTCTTAGCCATTTCGCGTCTCCCGTCTCGTGGTTTGATCCTTGCTGACTCAGCAGGCCGCAAAGTCGCACAGGTGCTGACGTGGACTGGAGGGGATGGAGAAGTTCGGAAATTGCCGGGAAGGGGGGAAGGGGGGGGATGGTTCAGCCGTCGTGCTGCGGCATCGTGGTTTTGGCGGGAACGTCACCAGCGGCTGGCGCGACGGAAAGCTTTCCGGGATCGTGTTCAGTTGGCGCGGGGATCGGAATTTTTGGCGGGAACGCCGCTGGCACAAGAATTCCGCGGTCGTCCAGTGGCACCGCGCCGCGCGAAAGGAGAGAATTTGGCGGGAACCTCTCCGGCGCAGCTGTCGAAGGCGCCATTTTGCCTCAGCGTTGTGGCGCGCTGTGGGCCGCTCTCCTCCTCCACGTCAGCCACCAATCACGGCAGGCTATCGGGATCTGCAACCACCGGTCAATCCTCCACGTGTCAGATCACAAGATCCAGACGGACCGCGGCTGACGGTCCTGGTGGTCCCGGCCCAGCTGTGACCCTTAGGGACGTCAGGGGTTATCCTAACTATGGCAAAACATGGGGAGGAGGAGGAAGGGGAGGAGGACGAAATCACACGGCTATGGTGGTCCCCCCTGCAGCTGGATTGATTCCATTCGTCGATTTCTGGCAGCCCAACATCGACTCCCAAAGCATTGCCCCTCAGTTGTTTGCCGTCTCTTTATTTCCTTACTTAGGATTTCTGTATCACCTTACACGCTCCAAATCAGCTCCAAGAACGACGCTATTTGGATTCTACTTCCTACTCGCATTCGTCGGCGCAACCAGTGAGTCAGTTGCATCCTAAGGAAAA